TCTGGCCTTCCAGAGGGTCGTCATGTAAACACAAGGTGGGATACAACACAAAATAAACATGACCACACTGACCAGAAGGAAGCCTTTCATTAACAGGAGGAGAGTACAGAGACACAGAGAAGAAGGGGCACGCTGGCTTTGGCACAGACAGCAAACACATGAGAGATCGAGGCAGAAAACCAGTCTCCAGGAACTGCCCTGGATTGGGCTATGCTGTCCCATCTTCACTACCGGGTGGGAGTTCTGGCCAGGTTTCTCTTCAAGACGTCCATCCAGGAATGCAAAATAAGGACACATGGACCCTGCTTTGCCTCCTCAGACAGGAAGGTGGAGGGAGAAGCACGGCAGGATTTCCCGGGCAACGAATGTTAAGATGGCCAGCCCGCGCCATGCCCTGAGTAGGGGTCTAGCAATTGTCACCCCCACATTCCTATGTTGAAACCAAATCCCCAATGCGATGATGCTAGGAGGTGGTGCCTTTGGGAGGTGAATAGGCCATGAGGGTGGAACCATCACGAATGGGATTAGTGCCCTGATAAAAGAGGCCCCAGAGAGCTGCCTTTGTCCCTTCCGCCATGTGAGGACATAGCAAGAAGAGGGTGCCATCTATGAACCAGGAAATGCACCCTCGCCGGACACCACATCTGTCAGCACCTTGATCTTGGATGTCCAATCCCCCAGAAGGCACCATCTATGAACTTCGTATTTCTCATGGAGAAATAAGTTTCTGTTGTGTGTAAGCCACCCAGTTTATGGTATTTTGCTGTAGCAGCCTGAAGGAACTGAGACAGGACTCCAAAATTCCTTCCTGACCTCCACTGGAACACAGCTCCTGCTCTGTGGCCACAGTCTTCCGGGATCCATTCCTTGAGCTCTGAGTGGGCTCGACTAAGTGAGATATGGAAAAGGAAAAACAGACTTGGGGTTTGACCAGACTTGGTATGTATCAAGACATGTGCAGCGCTGCTCTCAGAAAACCTTCCAGAGAGAACACAAATCACCTTTTCCAGGGCCCTAGGTCTGAGGCCTCTGGGTCTCCCACAGGCCCCGGGTGCAGGAACTTCAGCCTGCTCACACCTGCCTCTCCCAGTGGCATTGCCTACCTGGACTTTGGCAAAACATCCAAGGTCCTATAACCTGGCCTCCACTTTGAGTTTTTCCTTCACTTTGGGAAGTGGAGGACAGTAAATGAGGACGAGGACTGTAGCTTCTTAGTCACCCTGCATGTGTGTTCTTGTACCCTGATCGCATTCGTTTATTTTATGTTTTTCTTTTTTTCTCACCACCTACCCCAAGTTCTACCAATGGTATTCTTTAAGAGGACACTAGTGGTGGGCATGGTGGCTCACGTCTGTAATCTCAGTACTTCGGGAGGCTGAGGCGAGAGGACTGCTTGAACCCAGGAGTTCAAGGCCAGCCCGGGCAACATAGTCAGACCTCGTCTCTACAAAATAGTAATAGTAATAATAATAATAATAATAACAACAGTCGGGGTGATGGCGATTAACCGTAGTCCCAGCTACTCAGGGGGCTGAGGCAGGCAGATGGCTGAGCCCAGGAAGTCGAGGCTGCAGTGAGCCGTGATCACGCCACTGCACTCCAGCCTGGGCGACAGAGTGAGACCCCAACTCCAGCAAAAAACCAGAGGGACACCAGCCTGCTGGGACCGAGAGCCTAGCCTACCTCACGACAAGCTCCCGAGGCCCGGCGCCCGGCCGAAGTGGCCGCGCCGAACTCGGCGCGGGAAGGCACGCGCGCGTGGGCTCGCGGGCAGGACAGGCCCGCCCTCCGCCCCGCCGCCGGTCGCAGCCCTCGGGCGGGCACACGGGCTCCTCGGCAGCGGGGCCCCGGCCGCCCGCACGTGGGGGCCCGGCCGGCGCG